TTCAGATTACCTCCCATCCACTCTGTATTTATCTTGTATCTACCTTATTATTTACATGTTGTCTCTTTCCCCCATTAGAATGTGAGCTCACTGAGGGCAGGGACTGTCTTTATCTCTACTTGTATCCCCAGTGCCTAGCAGAGTGTCTGACATTTACTAAGTATTTAATAAATGCTTGTTGATTACCCAAATGACTAACTCCAGAGTCAGGGCTCCTTCTACTGTACTATACTGCCTCTGGGGCTCTGAAGAATAAGCTTTGATTCCTTACAAAGTAAAATCTCACCAGGATAAAAATGGCCCAAGACTCTCAGAATTCAAAGAAATAAGCTTTTCTTTCATCCAACCTCCACTGACGTCCGTGGCTGATCCATCTGGGGCCCAGCTGAGGGGTAGGATCTTTATTTCTGGTCTTCACAGAATTTCAGAGAGGTCATCTGGTCCAACTGAACCTGAACAGGAATTCCTCTATGATATCTCCGACGTGGATTCATGCAGCCTTCTCTTGAAGACCACTACTGAGATAGAATCCATTGCATCTCAAGGCAATCTGTCCTCCTTTGGGACAGCTTTAATTTGTTTGTCTTTATGTTAAGTCTAAATCTGTTTCTGTGACTTTTACCTACTTATCCTCATTACCCTCTCTAGAACTAAGCAAATGAAATCAAACTAACCTCTTTAAAGAGCTTGCAATCTTTGGAACCCTATTTAAAATGCACGCTGCTAGGATCAGCACCATCATCATCGTCATCATCATCTCTGTCATTTCATTTTCATCTTTTTTGAAAGAAAGACAAAAAAGTCACTAATCTCTATTTTAAAACATTTAATTTTCTGTTGACTACTGTACAGGTGGAGAAAAGGACTGCTTTTTTGTAATTGATGATGATTATCATCACTATTTGTATAGGAAGTTTGGCGTGATGGACATCGAGCTGAGCTCAATGCCAGAAAGCACTATGTTCGTGTCTTGCCTCCAGAGTCATACTGGTGGTATGCATGCCCCTGCAGTAGTCACTTACCCACTTATGTATTCTAGTCAACTCAGTCACAGGCCTGGCCCTGTACTAGGTTGCTGGAGACACAAAATCCAAGCCTATAAGTTGCACTGACGATGTTGACTAGCATTGGCCAAGAGACTTTCCCCACCTGGGAGCTCACTACACCAGAGAAATCAGGACTGGTCCAGTCCATATTTTGTTCTTATCTTTATATTCAGAGGAATTCAGATAGAAAGGGGCCCAGGACAATAGAAAAGCCACTCTCCTGTTATTGTCCTTTCAGAGGTGATGCTCTGTAAACTATCACACAAGAGGATAAAATCCATTATTTCAGTAATTGAGTGAAGTTTGTGATCCTCTTTTCTGAGGTCCAGGTGTTCTTCATGCCTAGAGGCTGTTTAACTCACATGTCAGAACTGCTTCTGAAAAGGGAAGCCTGTGAACACTGATGAAGATGAGGCCAATTGCGTGCTGATGTAACCCCCAATACCCACAAATGTATGGTCTGCTGCATCTGCCCAACCTCAGGGACAACTGGAAAGAGCATCAGACTTGGGAGTCAGGAGCCCAAGTCCCAGTTCTGCCCCTTGCTAGTTAGGTAAACTGAGGCAAATTGTTTAACCTCTCTCATAATGGTCTGCTTGTTCCATACACTTCTCCTATCACTGAGCCTTTCTTCTGGCTATAGCCCACGTATTCCTCATCTCTTCCTCTTAGAATCCCAGAGCTCAAACACCACATTTTCATGAAGCCTTTCTTCATTCCCCACCACCCAGCCCCCTGGCTGCTAAGGTACCCCCTTCCTCAACCACCTCCTATTCATTTTGCATAAATTCTTAATATACATATTTTCTGTCCCATTAGACTGTAGATAGATATAAATAAATATACACAAATAAATATATAGATGACAGAGTGTGTGTGTTTGTGTGTGTGTGTGTGTGTGTGTGTGTGAGAGAGAGAGATAGAGAGAAGATAGGCAAACATAAGACAGATAGATAGATAGACAGACAAATAGATATAGATGGACAGATAGATAAATAAAAGGTAGAGATAGATATGATAGATATAGCTAGATAGGCAAACAGATAACAGATATATAGAGAAAGGCAAACAGATGGGCATATAGTTACAGAGAGATAGGCAGATGGATAGAGAACATTCATTAAGTGCTTAAAATCTTCCAAGCACTGTGATAGTGGAATATAAGCTCCTTGAAGGCAGGGCTTATTTTACCAAGTCTTTGTATTCCAGTGCCTGGCACACAATAGGAATTTTATAAATTCTTGTTGATAATTTCATTGAATTGTACAATGGGGATAGCAACATGTGTATTGCCCACATAATGGGACTACAAGGAGTAAATCACTTTGTAACCCTTAAAGTGCCATAGAAATGTAAGTTATTCTTTTGATGGTCTTCTCTTTGTTAGCTTTCTCAGTCTCCTTTATCCCTTGTTAAGACACACAAAACAAGTTTCTAATAGGATAGACACAGTGAAACTTTATAGCTTTTGTGAAAGGCCCAAAGCCGCCATCCTAGAATCAGTCTAACCAAAGTCAAAGGGGTTCCACACCCCTGGAGTGGAAAATAAGATTTTTTTTTTCTCTAGCAAAAGCAATTCATAAAAGTTATCCAATGTTTGTTGGGGGTCAAGTGTGCTTACATCAATTAAATCAGGGACCCCAAGAAATTAAATCATGTAAATGAAAACACCAATAAGAAGTAGCTGATCTCAGGTTGAATATAATAACCAACCTTAGTCTCAGAGGTCAGATAATGAATCATATTGCCCTCACATTGGTAGAAAAGTGGGAGACAATAGCTACAGAATGGTGCATATGTTGTAAGATATGGTAATTGTGCTAGTTCATTTTGCTTAGTTTTTTTTTTTAATGAGGAAGGAGTCTATGGGCACAGAATCCATTAGGAAGTGATGATGGTATACGAAATAAAGGGAATGAATGACATTGAGTGGAGGAGGAAGTAAGGGAAAACATTTCTGAATAAGGTTTTGACTGAGGACTTCTCAATGTGGACAAACACACATTTCAGCAGTTCCACGATGCCGCTGCTATGGCAACTTCATTTGTGCAAATGGTGACCCACCCTCTGCAGGTCTTTTCCATGTCAACTAACTGCCCTATGCATCACGTCACCTTCTATGTGACCTCCTGACCAAAATTCCCTTCCCTGACCACCATTCCAAATGTGTGTTATTCTCTCCCATTAGAATATGATAACAATAACAATTATTATTGTTATTATTATAATCATAACAATGATAGCAGCATTTATGTAGCACTTTAAGGTTTACAAAGTGCTTTATAAATATTATTCTGGTTTATCCTCATAACAATTCTGGGAGGTAGGTGTTATTTTATGCCTATTTAGCAGTTGGGGAAACTGAGGCTAAGAGGGGTTAAGTAACTTCTCCAAGGTTATAAAGAAAGTCTGAGGTCAGATATAAATTCATCTTCTTCACTCCAGACCCAGGGTTCTATCCACTGCACCACTTAGTTGCCCACTGTAAGTTCCATGAGGACAGGGATGGTCTCTCTTGTTATATTTTTTTTGTCCTCAGTGATCAGCACAGTGCCAGCCCTTAATGATTTTTAATTCATTCTTCACCTGTATTCACACTATAAATTACCCACCCCAGACACTGGAACTCTTCTGCTGGGTCTGTGGTGAGGAGTTCAGAGAACAATGGTCAGACCATGAAAGGATGGCTAAAAGAAACTGGGGCTGCTTATTCTAGAGTAGATAGGACTAAAGGTTGAACATGAGAGCTGCCTGCAAGAATGTGAAGGGCAGTCAGTGAAGAGGAATTTCTTACTCTGCCTAGATCTAGATGGCAGAACCAGGACTAATGAGACCAGTTTAGCCTTGATGTTGGTTTAGACCAGATGACATCTTCCAGCTCTGAAATTTTGATTCTGTGACTTGCCTAGTGCAGTAGAAAATCTGGCTGGATTTGGCATCAGAGGATTCAAATCCTGTTTAAATTCCAGCTGGGCCACTTATACCCTAAGTCACCTTGGGCAAGTCACTGTAAGAGACAAGGTGCTAGAGTAGACAGAGCACTGTAAGAGAAGTGAAAACCTGGGTTCCAATCTTGATCAAGATATTTACTAGCTCTGTTACCCTGAGCAAGTCATTTCACTTCTCTGAGACTCAGTTTCCTCATTTGTTAAAAGAAAGAAGTGGCTCCATGATCTGAAGCTATGATCCCATGAAAACAAGGTAGTACTAGAGAGAATAATCAGCATGGCTACAATGGTGTAGATGAAAACATCGCTGAGAAGTAACTGACCTCAGCTTAAATGTAATAACTAACTGTCGTCTCAGAGGAAAAATGATCAAACACGCTTCCCTCACATTGGCAGAGAACTGAAAGACTATGGGTACATAATGGTGTATACATTGTCAGATGATGGTCACTGCATCAACTAGTTCATTTTTCTTGTTTTTTGCTTTAATGAGGGAAGTGGAGTCTATCAGAAAGTGATTGTGGTCTACAAAATGAAAGGCATTTTAAAATAATTCCACGGATGACAAGATTAGAACCAAAAAGGACATTTAGCACAAACCTCTCATTTTACAGATGAGGAAACTGAGGCAGAGCTCAAACGACTTGTCCAGGGTCACACAGTAAGAGTTTGAAGTTGGATTAGAAGCCAGGTGTTCTCGACTCCAAGTCTACCTTTTTAACTGCCATTCCACACTTTATGGGTCCCACTGTAATTCTTGGACTGATCATCTTTATCTCTTTTGACAACACCATAGGAAATTTTACATGAGAAGATAATGGCCACCAAAAAGTATCATTCTAAGTTTCAGGACTGTCTCAAGTTTGTGGGCATGGCAAATCATAGTTATTGTATATTCAACAAATTTCTTATTCAGAAACAAACACTTGCTTGGTGCTATGAGACCCAAGATGATATTGAACCATGAACAGTTCAAAGTTCAAATACTTCATCCATACACCACCAGTTACTCAGAAATATAGCTTTATTATTAGAATTTCCCATAGTCTAAAAACATTTTCTTTTAAAACTCTGGTAACAGTATATTCCAACTTCTCTACAACGGACTGGCCCTGCAGTAGGTTGCAAAACAGTATCTTTAAGTAACCTGAACTTAATTAAGACTTTTGTTAAGCATTAAGACTTTATAATCCAGTTTAAAAAGAAAAGAAAAAAAGTTCAAGCCTGAACAAATAAAAAAAAAATAGATTGATTTGTTCAACACTGAACGTTTTCCGCCATGTACCTTTGGTGCCACCTATAAAAAGTATCAACTTTAGCTGCGAATGTCTCCCTCAATATGTACAAACTGGGGCTGGTAACCCAGGGCACAGCCCATAGAATGACCCCACAGGAGCAAGCCAGGCTTCCCATTTCAGGTTTTCTTCCTTGGCTAAATAAAGCAAGAATAGATACATGGCACCCCACATGTGTGACATCCGTCCTTTTGGTGAGCTTAGAATTTAGCTGTAATTTGTTGTTTTTTTAATTCCTAATGAATGTATAGAAGACACATCAATTATATGTATGTAATACACAAAGTTCAGTTTTGTTTCCCCTGTCTAATTAGTGTAGAGAGATGGGTACTTTCAGGCTGACTAGAATATGCTAACCTTTTTGATTTCTTGCTGACCCATCCATATAATGAGGCCAGACAAGAATGTAGAGCAAAATATGGAGCCCTATTCACTTTACTTGGTCCCTCTGTCCTTGCTCTTAAGTTTATTTACCTACCAATTAGTAACAATTATGAGAGCTGAAGTGTTGGGTAGAGTTCATGAAATGGGTTTTAGGCACAAAGACTCCCAATCAAGGTTTAAAGGAATTTTCTAATTCCATGTCAGAGAGTTTGCTGGGGCCAAGGCCTTTGGGTCAGCACCAAGAGTGAAACAATCAAAAGCATAAACTTACTCTTAGCTTATGGCCTTCTATTGATTTTTGCTGATTGCTGTCTAGGATTTAGGGGATACTAAGCTTTTTCATGGCAAGAGTAACCTAAAGATTCTTTAATGCTTAGCATAGGACAGCTAACAGAAGCCTATAAGCTGAAATGAACTTTATTCTTTTGACCACAATTCTCCTGGTGCTAATTCCAGTTTCCTGGTCCCACCTTAAGACCCGGCGTAGGTTTGGAAAATTCCTTTAACTCCCACTAAGTCTCTGATTGATGTAAATCCCCCCAAACTCATTTTCAGGATCCTAGTCTACAAAGCCCCACAGGATGTGTATGGGGGCTGGGACAATGATTCCTTCTTCTACTCCAATAATGCTCCCTGATTGTGATGCAAATAAACCTAGAGACAAGAAGGAAAAGGCTAGGTAAGGCCCACATCCCTGCTAGCAACAAAAATCACAGCCTGTTCATTGCTCTGGTGTGCGCAGAGTTGTTCACTTCTCTCTACACATGTATGACACTCATGTGACATTGTGGTACTTTGGGTGATCACTGTTTGTCACCCGGAAGGAAGGGGTTGTTATTTCCTCTAGGCATGTTGAAAGAAAACTGAAGACGTCAGTTGCCGTAACTCAAAGGGACACAGAGAGATAAGTGTTTCTGGCCGCTCAACCCGCAGCAAAGCATTCGTTACGCTGTCATCACATCATACACACATTACCTGACAGAAAGGAGGGCATGCAATATAGTTGAGAACTCATTGGATCAGTACAGAAATTCTAAAGTGCAATTAGGTTATGAACAGTAAGAATAAATAGTGTCTGGGGCACATCAGGGCCCCAAATAAATATCTATGTTACCTTACCAATTTTTTTTTTTTTACAACATGACTTTCAACCTAAACAGTGACACTCATGGGCACTTTATCCACGGGACTCCTTCACATACACAACATGAACACCCCACCTCCATAACCACCAAGGTCGAGGGATGGTAACTCTTCACTATGACAGGTTTGAATACTGTGATGTGTAATGTGCACCAACTAGTTACATCTCTCATCAGACTGCTCTTCCACGTCATTAAATCCTCATTGCACATTTCCAACTTATGACTAGTCTGGTGCTTATGGCAGTAATGACCAGAGCAAAAGACTCTGACTAATTAATGTTCATTTAGTTAGATATCATTGTAATTATATAGGTCACTTAAAAATCACCCCCGCATACACACACACACACAAAGACACATATCTTTCCCCTCATCCCCCCTCCCCATGAGTATTTAAAAATAAATTATGCATGTACTGGAGTCATATATACATGGACCTTTGTCTTGTGGACAAGATTGACCTTGATCATAATTCCAGAAGGACGTCAGCACTTGTGAGCTCTTTGTGGGGTCTGATACTCTTACTGTGAAAAATGGTGGTTTAAAAACCTGTTCCTGGAAGCAAAGGATGATTCCGGGGAAGCTTCCAAATGGACACACCTTAGAAGAAATAGAAGTTACTCTCCAAGGAGGCCCCTAGTGGACTGGAGGGGGCTGGCCTAGCCTCATTAACTTCAAGATCACTTCAACAGACAGGCTAATACATTAAGCATACCAAATGTTAGGGTCAAGGCAAGATTAGTGGGCATACTAATCATAAGAGTGAGGAGAAGCTCTAAGGAATGAAGAACAAGGCAGCCTGGGAAGAAAGGATATCAGAGAGAAATTCACATCCATTTACTACGACTGATAGGAAGCAAGCACTGTCAACAGAGCACGTGCCACAGGCGGAAAGCCGTGCTGATATTTCTAGTATCTGCAGACCCAGGATACGGCAATACTAAAGAAGATGCCCACTGGTCAATGCAGTCAGGCAGACCCAGGGGCTGAGAACTCCGAGTGTTGATTCAATAGGCAGTACAGCCACAGGTGACTAAGGAGATGCTAGTATAAGAACATGCCGGCAGCATCAGGCTGTCTGGGTGCAGAATATACAGCCGTAGTAAAGGACAGAGATGAACCCAAATCAGGCTCTACGTGGGATCCTAGAAGCTGGGAGGGACCTAAGCCCAAACCCAAACTTGTCCAAAGTCACACATCTCATAAATATCAAGGATGAGATTTGAATCTAGGTTCTAGACCCCAAATCCCGTGCTTGTATCAACAAATCACGCTGCCTTCTAGCAGAATAAAAAACATAACCCTATAACCAACATTTTCACTTGAGTAAACTCAACAGCAGCAAAACCTCAATGAACCAGAAGGTTGAGTAAATAGGGGTTCTGGTCAATTGATTTATTCAAATTTATTTTTAAACTGTGAGTCAAGAAGAAATTATAGGACTGGGGGATAATAGATCAAGAGTTGAAAGGAGACTCAAAGGCCATCTAGCCCAACCCCCTGATGTTACAGATGGGGAAACTGAGGCCCAGGGAGGTTAAGTGACTTGTGTAAGGTCACAAGGTAGTGTCACTTTTTTTGTCTCAATCTTTGTTGTTAGGGGGAAAAAACTTTATAAAATTCATTTTTATCTTAGTAAGTCAGGGAGTATAGCTGACTAGTCCTCTGATGGCTAAGGCCACTATGTAGCCTTAGGTACAGAAAATCAATGATCACTGATTAGCACTGTATACTTACAAGAGGGAGAGAATTAGGTAGAATTGTTAAGAGTCATCAAGCATATACTGAGGATAAGGGTTTGGGGCATTAATATGAGTTTGTTTATTTTAGTGACTTGCCTCTAAAGTGATGTGGTCCTCAGAGGTGGTTAACTTAATGCTGTGGTTAATTGAGGTCTAGTTAACTGAGGTTTTCCTGTTCACACAAAGTTAATGTGTCAACCATGGGACTGGCTGAGTGGTTCCTTGATCAAGTTTCTTTCCCTTCCCCAAAGCTTAGGACTGGCAGCTCAGAGATCCCCACCCTCTTCAGATGATGTTCACGATGGCCAGCGACTTTTTTTTGACCATTTTTGCCTTGACGTTGACTTTCCTGGCTGGGCCCAGAGGCTCGACTTTCTTCAGAGGTCTCCAGAGCTCTCTCGGGGAATCAGCAAGGTCATGGGCAAACCGAGCTGACTGCACACTCCCTCGTTCGTCCTTGGCTTTCTTCAGGGAATTCCTTCCCTTTGGGTGGAAGTAGGCCTTGAGGTCGGGGTTGTGGCCTGCAGAGTGAGGGCCCCCGCGGCACCTGCAGATTGGAGACAAACATAGTGAGGACCCTGCCTCGGAAAACTTGTAGGTGCTTGACTTTGGTTTTTAGAGCCCTGATTTTAAGCTGGAAAAAGGCAAGGACCATAAGTGGTGAGATAGGTGCTCTAAGTAGAATCAAGGCTATGAAGAATTCAGAGAAACTTGGCAAAATGCACATGAACTGATGGAGAACCAAGTAAGCATGGGCAGAACAACGATTTACACAATGACCACGATAACATAAAAAACAAACAAACAACAACAACCAAAAAAACGAACACTGAAGACCATCAGAAGTCTGATCAATGCAGCAACCACGGCACGGATGAAATTTTACCTTCTAGTGGAAAGGTGGGAAGGATGCATGAGAGGAATTAAGCATACGTTGTCAGCCCCGGCCAACACGTGGATTTGTTTTGTCTGACAAATTAATTTTGCTCAGTTTGTTTGTAATTGTTACACAAAATTGTTTTGTTTCTTTGTTATAAGGTGGCTTTCTGTTTGATCACTGTGAAGTGATAACAACGTAAAAATGAAAGCATCCCTAAAATCCCCAAATAAATAAATAGCCCCCAGGACTTAGTCAAAAACAGGGCACATGCACAAAGTCCCTTGAAATTCTCCATAAGTAAGCTAGGAGCTAAGTGGTGCACTTGTATTAGATTAAGATGGAGGAGGAGGGTGAGAGCTCACATTTATACAACATTTTCAGATTTGCAAACCACCTTAAATATTTTGCCTACTGAGACTCAGAAAAGATAAGCTAGTTGTCTAGTCTCACAGCTGATATGTAATAGGACCCAAAGTCCAGTCCAAGTGCTTTTCTCCCTAACCCATGCTGCCTTTCATAGGAAGTATGAGAGTAATGAGGACACTAACAGCGTCTGAGGCAGTAAAGTATCCTGAAAGAATACTGGATTGATACCAGAGGACCTGGGCTTGAATCTTGTTTCTGTGACTTCCTAGCTGTGTGACCTTGGTCAAGCCCTTTACCTTCTCTGGGCTTCAGTTTCCTCCTCTGCTAATTACTTCCTATTTGTCCTGAAGATATCTTGCTTTGCATATATTTGTTTGCATGTTCTCTTCTCCTGTTAGATTGTAAATTCCTTGAGGGCAGGAGCCTTTGTCCTCCCTGAGGGCACTGTCTTTTGTCTTTTTGTATCACAGGGTTTAGCACAGCCCGACATATAGCGGGCATTTAACACGCTTATTGAATGAGGAGGTTGGACTATTTGGCCTTCAAGTTTCCTTTGTTTGAGCAGAAATATGTCTGAAGTCTACTTTCCTGACTAGTAAACCATCTGCTATTTCTGTCTCACTTTTTCCTGGTTTTGGCCTATACTTTATCATCATAGCAATTAAATGCTCCCAGTGAAGATTTAAGAAATGAGAAACATGGTGGTAAATTTCTTCCTGACCTCTACAGTACATGCACTCTATGACTGTGTCAATGCAGGCTTGTGTATGTCTAATTACACAGAGTTATAACTAGGTGTTTTGGTGTTTTCGGAAAGACATAACCTGAGAGGATGGGGAGCTATCGAATTCACCTGGGTTTTGACCACAGGGATAACTTCTTGTTTTAATTAATTAGCATTAGTGCCGATCTCAGCTGTTTCTTTATCACAAAAGGAATCTATGTGCTGTGAGCACCCTCTCAATTTCAGCCCCCAGGAACAGAGGTCTGATTATCAAATCCTAGTTATGGCTCTGTGTAGACATAGCATTCATGTATCATATAAAAGTATGCAACATGAAACCATGCTGTATTAAAACCTAAATTAAATAATCAAAAACATAAATATAAGTACATACAGGCATTTGGGTTTCCTATTTGAGGCGATGTCTGTAAACTGAAGAAAAACAAATAAGAGAAAAGCATTACTTCACAGGTGGGTTGAACAGTTCCTTATTCTCCCCCAAAGGACTCTGTACACATTGTGAGGGCCCATTGGGTTGGCCACACTGCTTTCCATATGGGAGACTGACAAAAGAATTTCAAGGCTGATGCTCTTCTCACACAAGTATCCAGCCCGATCTCTCTCTCCGTCATGTATCTTTGCTCTGAGACTTATTTCAGAAGGTTATATCATTCCAACATGCTGGGTAGGGCCCCAACATGGAGAATTCATGGAAGGACAAGGACCAAGGTTGCACAGGATGAGAAGGCAAAGATGGGTCGCAATCTCCACTGGTGAACAGAGTACTCATATTGTTGAGATCATATATTCATGAAAAAAATATCAAAGTATAGAGGCCGCAAGGATAATTCCTACAAGATTAAAGGAAAATAGAATTTAAAGCAGAGAAAATGCCCTGTTATGTTTCCATGGCTCTGGGCTATCTCTGCAGACAATTCACTACCCTTGACACATTCTAGGGAAAACCAGACCACAAGGCTGAGTGTCAGAATTATAGCATTCCTAAAATGAAAATGTACAAAGACAAAGTGAATGCTTGGGGCTTTGGCCATCTCCCATTTAGGTTGTTTTCTAGGCATCATAAATTATGTAATAAAACCTTTGCATTTTTGGAGGCAGACCTCAGAATATCTTCATTTGTGGATGAATCCCATCCTTGGCAGGTCCTGATTCAGCTCACACCAGCCAATGGATGGACACAGGAACACCAGCTTTCGCTTCCCAGCACCCAAGGGTGCTCATTCCCACGAGCAGAGACCCGTGAGTATGAGCGATCAGACAAGTGCAGTTCTGTCTGGGTCATTGCCCTACTCAGTAAACTTGGGGAGCTCCTTACTGAATCCAGGATCAAATAACAAGTCTTTTGTTGATTAAAGTCCTTCACAACCTGGTCTCTTCACACCTTTCCAGGCTAAATGCACATTAGTCCCCCTTCCATGCACAGTCCAGTCATACTGGACTCCTGGCTATTCCCCACACACAACATTCAGCTTCCTGTCCCAAGGCCTTTGAACAAACTAAATCAATGGAGACATAAGAGGCATTGGCTCTGTCCCCCAAGCTTGGAAGGTTCTCCTTCCTTACCTCCACCTTTACAATCTTTTGCTTCTTTAAGACTCAGCTCAGACACCACCAGGAGGTCTGAAGGAGGTCTTTCTTCATCTCCCAACTGCTGATGCCTTCTCCTTCAAGATAATCTTGTATCTACTCGGAGCGTGTATTTGTTGATTCAGGTTTGTGTGTGTGAGTGTGTATGACACACGCATATATACAAATGCACCTACATATGTCTATATACATGCAGGTATGTATACGTGTGCATGTCATGTTTATGTACCTGTATAGATATATACATCTCTATATCTTATATGTATATATTACACACACCATACACACATATATTGCACATGTATGTGCATGTATAAATGCACATAAACATCCACCCATGCATGCAACGTATATCTGCATATATTGTTAGTACATGTATACACACATGTATCTGTGCATATAAACATGCATGTGTGCACATATGCATAACTGTTTATGTTGTATCTATGCATATATGCATATGTTTGTGCATATATACACAATAAACACATTACAAAGGAAAAAAAAGTAACAGCACCTTCTCTCAGGGAGCTTGCATTCTAACGGGGGAGACAACCTACACATTTTTTTGTGTTCCCAGCACCTAACATGTAGTAGGTGCTTAATAAATGCTTGTTGATGGATGGATTGACATTTGTGGTCATGATTTCAAACCACAAGCAGTGATCCCCATCTAAGTTACTTCTATCTACTCAGTATCTTGTACATACCAATCTGCATAGCTTGTCTCCCATTAGAATGGAAGTTCCTTGAGGGCAGGGGCCATTTTTTTTTTTGTATCTCCAGCACTTAGCATTTGCCTGGCCTACAGTAACTGCTAACAGATATTTGTTGCTTATTGATTGAAGATGATTAAGGGAACCTGGAGCAAAGACCACTTGGGGGCATGAGGTTCATACAAGCCACCTCTGAATCTCAGAGAAATAGCCTTGTGACCCTATTGTGCTCAGATGCTGAGGCACCTCTAGCAGAGTGGGCTGGTCATGGGGTGAGAGTGAGGGATGGTTGGACAGCCTGTGGGATTTATTGTTAGACTCCCACAGTCAAGAGAAAGGGAGTCACACTCCCAGCATGGGCTCCTTAGGATGACCTTGAGGAGGGCCATGGACACAAGTCACACAGAATGGGAAATGGATGGATAAGTTGTGAACTGCATCACCAGAGGGAACTCCCCCATCACCAGAAGGAACTCATATGGAAAACCTGCCTTCCGTTCCATAGACTCATTTGTCTAACTACCCTCAACCTTGCAGGCCAGGATTTCATTTTGGAAGTATCCCAGAAGAAGAAAATTTTATTAATATACAGGAATATGAATTGGGCAGAATGACTAGACAGGCATTGTTTCTTCTGTCTATCCATGATCTCATCAGCATGGATGTTCCTTCCCTAACTGGGGAACTCATTACCACTCAAAGCAGTCCATTCCACTTTTGGCCAGCTATAATTGTTCAGCCAGTCTAAAATTGTCTTCTTCTGTACCCCCGGGCCCTGGTCCCCACCCTTGTTCTTTGAGTCTCAACATCTTTCCATACATCAACCCTTCTACTACTCAGAGCCAGCTACCCCGTCTCCCTCTGGTCTTCTCCAGGCTTCATCTCCACCTTCAGATCAATCAATAAGTCCATCAACAAGCATTTATTAAGCTCCTACCACGTGCCAGGCACTGGGGATACAGAGATAAAGCCATCAGGACCTGTCCTCAGGGAGCTTATGTAGGAAGACAATGTACACATACATAAAAGTGTAGACAAAAACATAGAAAACACAAGGTAGTTTCAGAGCCAGGGGCATTACCAGTTTTGTTTTGTTTTGGTGGGAGGGTGTAGATAAAGAAAGACTTCACAATTCAGTTCCTTCAACTGGTCCTCATACAGCGTGAGCTCAGGTCTTTTACCATCTCATTTGCCTTTATGTGACTATTCTAAATGGAAGGCACACAGTAGGCATTTAATAAATGCTTCAATGGATGAATAAATCAATGCATGAGAATCAGGCCACTGAAAACCCAGACAATCTGATGGAATGTCTCAGACATCAGAGACTTCAGAAGAAACAGTCCCTCTTTTGAAATGACTTAGAAATGAATACAAATCCTTATTTCAAACAAAATCAGCCTAGTTATTCCAAAACATTCCATCTGAACAGCTCCAAAGTGAGCAGATGGGCTATTAGGTCAACTCTGCATTTATAATTCCATAGCATTTTCAGAGGCAAGGAGAAAACGTCTGGGTAAACATATTACATTTTTAGAACAGCCAGGTGAAACAAACAAGGGGGCTCAGAGGAGACTCCAGAAAGAACAGACATGGAAGGACAGAAATGCTCATTGGCAGAGACTGCAAAACCCTACAGGCCAGATACCCACCCCAAAGGCTTCACTTAAGGGGACTGATGAAAATGGCCAAAAGCAGGGTAAGAATTCTGGCAACTTGGAGGGAAAGAGACAACACACATTGTACAGGGAATCCATATTGCTCATTATCTGGATTTTTAACACAGGTCAGGGGAGAGGTTAGATCGGAAAGAAATTCATTTAGAACTCCCAGATATTGGTGTCACTCAGCATGATCTATTGTTAGCGAGTGTATGGGGAGAGAAAAGAGAGATGTCTTCTGAGTCGTTCTGAGTAATGAGATTCTGATACCTTTGGCCACCATAGATCACACTAAGGTAAAACGTGTATATTTCAAAGGGAGATTGAAGGGAATAAACGTTCAAAGGGGTGATTGGCCAAAGCTGAGTCTACAAAAAAAGTGCTGGGGTAGCCATTCCAAGAAACAAATGCTTCCTGCTTTGCATGGCTCAGGAAATCTACCTCCTCAGATGGATGTTCACTCACATCCAGCCAGGCTCCAGTGGGACACACTCAGCTCCTTCCTGCCAACTTCTCTGACCCCTCCCTTTGCCCTGGATGAGTCTCAGGTTATTTTCAGTGGGTTAATCTTGACTCTTCTACTAGATGATAAGCTCCTTGAGAGCAGGGGCCATGTTTTAAACTCTGTGTCTCTTTATTCACCCCATTCTCAACACCTTCCCACCTTAACATGAGCACAGAGCAGGATACCGATGATTACATGTCAATGGCTCTTTGGGGTACATATTATACACTTGTTTACTGCCTGACCAAATCGCTACTCCAGATGCCCCCTCCTAACCTTGACTTCAAGAGTTCTCCCTCCCCAGCTCCACATCTTGTTCCAGGCTCAGTTTGGGTACCATCTCCTCCCCATCCCCATTACTCGGTATTTATTTTGTATAAATTTGTATTTACCTAGTTTGTAAGGACTACATACTTATCTGTATACACATATGTTGTTCCTCCAGCTTCTTGAGGGCAGACACTGCTTTTCACTTTTGTCTCAGTATTACCAATGCTTAGCATAGCGTCTGGCACATGGTAGGTGCTTGGTAAATGTTGATTTGAATTCTGTGAGTATCATCACCAAAGGAAAAATCCACTTTTATGTGACATTTTGCACATAAGGGAGAACCAGGAGAGGTGGATAGAATGGAGGGGAGGCTACAAAGAGGTTTAAGTCAGCCAGGCACTCTGGGCTAGTAGAGAGGACTTGAGTGGGCTCTAATGTATGGTCAGAATTGTCCTCATGACGCACAACTGTTGAGTCCTTCAAGAATTCCCATCTGTTTTGTTTTGTCTCTGATCAACGGGCAACAATGAGCTGAGTGAGGGAAGGAAAACGGCGGGGAAGGCAATGAGCATGACCATGAAACTCACCAAGTGCTCGCTGGCACCCTTGCCATGGCCCGAGGCCTGCTGGCTTTGATAATACTCTAACTGCTTCTCAGCTAAGTCAACCCGTTGTAAGAGGTTCTCGATGAAATTCTGTAGTCTGGCTTTACCCTGGACTTCCTTCTCCGCAGCCGCTTCAAGGAAATGGTTGAACGTGACAACTTCTCTAGAAGACAAAAATGGCAGAACAAAGAACCAAGAAATTGGATAAAACGCACGCTGCAATATATACCCCTTGGCCTGGTATTTAAAGTCCATCATAAGCTTGCTCAGACATACTTCTCTGCTCTGACTTCTAGTTATTCTTTCTACACACACACACACACACACACACACACATCCCTCCCAGACACATTAGACTATTAGCCTGTGACATTTCATTCCTACCTCCATGTCTTTGCACACGCTGTCCTCCATACTTAGAATGCATCTCCACCTCTAGGATATAATACAAACTCCTCCATTTGACATTTAAAGGTCTTCACAGTCTGCTTGCAGCCTGCCTTTCCAGCTTAATTGAACACCACTCCCCTTCATGCCTTTTTCAGTACAGCCAAACAGCCTCATTGCTTTTTCTCACATACAACATTCTACCTCAGTTGCTATTGCTGTTCAGTCGTTTTGCGGTGGTGTCCGATACTTCATGACCCCATTTGGGGTTTTTTTTTTTGGCAAAGATACTGGAGCAGTTTGCCATTTCTTTTGCCATTTTCCTCTGACTACCTCAGTTTGCTCATGTGTAAAATTCAAGAGTTGGATTAGACTCTATAATAAGGACCTCTTTCATAAATAGGTAGGACTACACAATTGTCGACATTCCTTCTGACTCACAAACTCTGTGATTCTACGACCTCTCAATTCCCATCTAACTTGTCTGGAATTCCATGATTCTCTTGGACAAGGTAAGTCAAATAAATAAATCCATTCTCTGACTTGTACTTATGAGGCCCTCACAAATGCCCTCAAAAAGACCCAGTTCTCTCTCGTTCTCTAGTCTTGCTAAAATGGTTTGGAACACGAGAAGATGTCGCTACATGACTGCTTAATCCATGCCCATTTTATTACTGGAGATATATTTTTAACCCTATGATATTTTGCTGCTGAGGTCATTTAAAATAACACTTAAATATTCACAAGAATACACCTCCCAATTGTAAAGTGTTGTGCCGTCCAACAGAAGGAGTTCCTCTCAGGTCTCACTCAGGCAATTATCTTTCACTCTGCTTAGGAAAAAGAATTATCTCTTGAATTTCAACCAGTTTTGCAAGGGAGCAAATCCTATAACTGTCTGGTCTCCTCAGACACAGCAGCTCAAACTATATACCTATTGCCTGAGCAGGACTTTTTGACAAAAGTAGTAATGAAATATGGGTTGTTTGGAGAGATGAATAATTCCTGGTCCAGTCATTTGGGAGAGCAACTATGTCCCCAAAAGTCACTGAACTGGGCATACTCTTTGACTCATTGATACCACCATGAGGCACATATACCAAAGAAATCAAAGAAAAAGGAAAAGATCTTTTTGCACTAAAATACTTAACACATCTTTCTTTGTAGCGGCACAGAACTAGAAACTAAGGGCATGCCCATCAATTGAAAAATGGATGAATGAATTAGGGTATGTGGATGCAATGGAAAATTATTGTACCATAAGAAATGATGGAAAAGATAAGTTCAAAGAAACCTGAAAAGTTTTATATGAACTGATAAAGAGTGAAGTGAGCAGAACCAGGAGACACTTTATACAATAACAATGTTGTAAAGACAAACAACTTTGAAAGACTTACAAACTATGATCAATGCAATGCCCATGATTCCAGAAGACCCATGATTAAAAATGCTATCCACTTCCTGACTGGGAGGGCACAGACTCAGGCTACAGAAGGAGAGGACATTTTTGGATAAGGGCAATGTAGGAATTTGTTTTGTCTGGCTATGAATATTTGCTGCAAAAGTTTTCAGGTTTATTTTTGTTTGCTTTTCTTTTATATTGGGAGGGAGGGAGAAAAAATAAAAGCTTAATTGAAATTTAAAAAAAATTAAAGATAAAAGTAAATAATTTGGGGGGTATTATCTTGTTTTGCTTTTTTTTTCATTTGACCTGTGATTTCCTCCAAGTGGGGAACCTCTGGTGTGGGTGTGAAAATTCTCCACAGATACAGATCAACAACCCATCTGTAGCTTACGGTCTTAGAGAGCTGCAAAGTAGTTTAGAGGTCAAATGATTTTCCCAGGACCACCAAGTCAGTGTATGTCACAGGCAAGATCTGAATCCAGGTCTTTCCAATTTCAAGTCTGGCCCTTGAATTCTTGATTCCAGAAAAGTACAATTCATATCAAGTGCCTGTATAACAGGTCTAAGGAAAGGTGCATGAACACAGCCTTATTTGGGGCAGGAGTGAGGTTGCTTTATTTTTTTAATAACAAATGCTAGCATTTATATAATGCTTTAAGGTTGCAAAGCACTTTATAAATTCAATCTCATTTTACTCTCACAACAACCCTGAGGGGGGGTGCTCTTATTACCTCCATTTTACTGATGCAGAAACTGAGACCAACAAAGTTAAGTTACTTGCTCAGGATCACAAGCTAGTAAATATCTGAGAGTAGATTTGAACTCAGGTTCTTCTGCCTCCAGGTCCAGTCACTGCACTGCCCAGAGACTGCTGATACACACTAACTCATGATACTTATCAGAAATGTTTTCATATGAGTAACTAGATTTCATAGGATCATAGATATTGAGCTGGAAGGGAGCTTAGGGACCTTTTAGGCCAATCACCTCATTTTACAAATGAGGAAACTGAGGCTCCCTAAGGAGTGAAGTTACCCAGTGTCACACAGAGCTAGAAGTCGAACTCAGGTCCACCAAGCTCCCAGCACCATCACCCCGCAATTAATGAACCTACCCCCCCTCAATAAACTCCAGTAGTGTCCTCTTACTTTCAAGATGAAACATAAAATCCACTGTTTTCCATTTAAGCCTCTCTATAAGCTAGCTTCTTCCTATCTTTCCAGTTTTCTGACTCAGAACTCCTTCCCACACATTCCATAGTCTATCAGTCCTACTTACATACAGCATTCCATATTCCATCTCTATGCCTTGCACTGGCTGGACCCCATGCTTGGAGCTCACCTCCTTCTATTAAAAATCCTTGACTTCCTTCAAGGTTCGGCTCAAATGCACTTCCTAAGGGGGTCTTTCCCACCCCCACCAAAGTCTCCCCCTTAAAAGTTACCATCTACTATGTGTCTTGTATATACCTGTTGATACACATGTGGTCACCCCATTAAAATGTAAACTCCTTGAGGGCAGGGACTGTTTGCCTCAGTTTCCTCAACTGTAAAATGAGCTGGAGAAGGAAATGGCAAAGCATTCCAATATCTCTGCAAAAGAAAACCCCAAATGGGGTCGCAAAGAGTGGGACACTACCTAACAACAACCAGCTATAAATGCTAGCTATTATGATTACTGTTATTATGATTTTGCCGTTTCTCTGCCACCTAGCACTTAGCACAATGCTCAGCACACAGCAAGCACTTAATAAATGCTTTTTGGTTGACTGATTGCTCCTGTCATCTCTGATTCCCCAGGGCATGGCTTTTCTTTTCAAAGACTCATACCACGTATTTCTCAGGAGTCTGTACCCTTTGTTTTCCACTTACAGGCAAACTCATATTGAATACTGATATACTGGTATATTGAGCACTCCACCCTGGGGATGCTGGTTTGTGCTCCTTTGTCCCACACAGCTCTTCCTTACTGCTGCCTCTTTGGAGATGCTGAATGAATAAATCATTTCATCTTCTTTCCCTGCTCAACCTTCCTCACATTCAAGGCTTCCTTATTTATACTGGCTTTCCCTCTCCCACTTGCTTCATACCACTTCATCCTTGGCGAGAGAGGATGAGAGGCAGACCTGGGTTCAATCCTGCAGAACCTCAGTTAGGCAGGGAATGCTTACTGAGGGACCAGTAAGAAACAGCATCACTGTTCTCTGACGCCTGGGAGACTTTACTCTTTGGTTCAGTTATTCACCCGATCCGTCAGGCACTGGCTGAGAACACAGCTCTGTGCTAGGCCTAGAAGAGGCAGAAGGATCGGTTTAGAGGGGAAAGGATCACAGAAACCAGCTAGTCTAACCCATCAATTGACAAATAAAGAAAATCGAAGCATAGGGAGGCTAAATTTCCTACCCAGGGTCACAAAGGGAATGATTGGCAGAGCTAGTCTTTGACCCCAGCTCTGGGGAGCCTGTACTCGGCACCACACTGCCAGGGAAGAACCGAGGCTGTCTGCCTTTGTGCAGATTCAAGTCTAACTGAGGCAATGGAGGTGGGGCTGGGGGAGACGAAACATGAGGCGGAGTGAGCACTGGAGTTGCTGGAGTTCCTGGAGTCAGGAGAGACCCAGCTACCAGTCTTGTCTCTAACACTAGAAGCTTTGTGACCATGCATATGCATGTGACCATGCAAGTCAATGTCCGCTCTAAACTCTGTTTCTTCATGAGTAGAATGAGGGTAATAATCCTAGAGTGCCTGCCACGCAGGCTTGTTATAAGATTCAAATGAAAGATCATCTGCAAAGTTCTTCGCAAACCTTCAAGTACCACGTCATGTCAGCGATGACTTGGCCCCACAATTCCATTGGCAAGACCATGCCCTGAAAACGTTGCACAGAAGAATCCCAAGAATGCCGTCTCTTCAAAATCTTCAGAGCAGTGTTGTAAGTAATTATAAAAGAAAAACTGAAAACAACCAACAGTAAGTAGATAAATTGTGATACATTAATGGAATAGAACAGAATGACAAAAGTCGGCCCTCCTAGGCACTTACTGAGTGGTCCTAGGCAAGTCATTTCATCCCTCTCAACCTCAGTTCCCTCCTCTATAAAATGGGGACAGAGACAATGGTCAGAAGCAAACTAGACTTTTGAGAGACAGGGTAAAAAAAAAAAAGAGTGAGGATGACAAACAGAAGAAAATAGTATAGAGAGAAATGTACAGTTAGCAATCATAACTATAAATGTCAATGGAATGAATTCACCCATAAAAGAGAAGCAAATAGCAGAACAGATTAGAAACCAGAATCTAGCACTTTGTTGTTGACGAGAAACATACTTGAAAAAGAAAGATACACACAGAGTTAAAATAAGAGGCTAGAGCA